CCCTAATGTAAGGGGGCCCTCTGATGGGGACCCCTAATGTAAGGGGGCCCTCTGATGGGGACCCCTAATGTAAGGGGGCCCTCTGATGGGGACCCCTAATGTAAGGGGGCCCTCTGATGGGGACCCCTAATGTAAGGGGGCCCTCTGATGGGGACCCCTAATGTAAGGGGGCCCTCTGATGGGGACCCCTAATGTAAGGGGGCCCTCTGATGGGGACCCCTAATGTAAGGGGGCCCTCTGATGGGGACCCCTAATGTAAGGGGGCCCTCTGATGGGGACCCCTAATGTAAGGGGGCCCTCTGATGGGGACCCCTAATGTAAGGGGGCCCTCTGATGGGGACCCCTAATGTAAGGGGGCCCTCTGATGGGGACCCCTAATGTAAGGGGGCCCTCTGATGGGGACCCCTAATGTAAGGGGGCCCTCTGATGGGGACCCCTAATGTAAGGGGGCCCTCTGATGGGGACCCCTAATGTAAGGGGGCCCTCTGATGGGGACCCCTAATGTAAGGGGGCCCTCTGATGGGGACACCTAATGTAAGGGGGCACTCTGATGGGGACACCTAATGTTGAGCTCTGTGCACGGACTGGGACTGTCCTCTGCTGCCCACAGAACAGGAGCCATACAAGTGGCCCCGCGTCCATCTGTGACGTCTCTATCCCAGGGGCCCGCCGGGCGGTATTGATAGATTATTTTCCAAACTGGATTCCAATAATTGTCTCTTCTGATCAGGAACATTAAAGAATCACTCCAACTGGAAAGAGGACAATGTGTTAGAACCAGTCGCTGCTGAGATCCTGACCCACACAATGCGGTCCAGAGGCAGAATGACTGCAACTAACAGCCCGGCACAATGCGGTCCAGAGACAGAATGACTGCAACTAACAGCCCGGCACAATGCGGTCCAGAGGCGGGCTTGACTGCAACTAACAGCCCGGCACAATGCGGTCCAGAGGCAGAATGACTGCAACTAACAGCCCGGCACAATGCGGTCCAGAGGCAGAATGACTGCAACTAACAGCCCCACACAATGCGGTCCAGAGGCAGAATGACTGTGGGGTATTTTTTGTATGTAAAGCTGAATTTCTTTCCTGTATAGCCAAACTCCGGCCCTCCAGCTGCGGTGGAACTACAAATCCCATGAGGCATTGCAAGATTTTCACAGCCACGACTCCCGGAGAGAGATGCATCATGGGATGTGTAGTTTCACCACAGCTGGAGGGCCGGAGTTTGGCTACCCCCGCCGTATTGCCTTAGAAGAAATACAGAATGAGGAGCGGATGCTGAATATAACTTTATTGACTTCTTCACAAACATCGAAAATCCATTTCAAGTTTCATTGAAAAAAACACCAAATTAAATAAAAAAACAAAAACAGACAGCGGAAGTGGAATGTTCTGGAATCAGATGAAACACATTGAAGCTGAACACATCTAATTCATACATTGTATCATTATTTGGTCTTCTTGCATCTTGTCTCTGGTTTCACATCTGCTTTTTCTCTTCCATTATAAGGCGGCAAGGCTTGTGTTATTATGTAGTGCTGCTATTGCCCGTTTGTTGCCCATATTTTATCATCATTGCCCATTTGTTGGCCATATTTTATCCCGATTGCCCATATTTTATCACAATTGCTTACAGTATGTGTTGCCCTTGTTTTATCATGATTGCCCATTCGGTGTTCACTTTCTGTCCCAATTGCTGTCACATTTGCCAGAGTATCACGGTGTACTATAACTGAATCCCGTGCAGGACTGTTACTATTGAGCTATACTCCGAAAAAATGGCCACACCCCAATTTTCCACTGGGGAATGCTCCCCTTTCTCTTGTAGGGTAAAGGTGCCCATACACTGCACGATTATCGTACGAGAATTGCGGGAAATCCCGCCATCGTACGAGAATCGTGCAGTGTATGGAAGGCGTGCGACCGTTTCTACTGTACGGTCGCACGACTTTTGTATTTTGAGCATGATGGAAAACCAGCCGAGAATCGTACGCTTTTCGGCTGGCTTGTAGCATGATCGAGAGATAACTGCAGAACGGGCCGGTGTGCGCACACGCACACTGCCCGTTCAGCATTGCAGTCATCGGAACAGGGGGGGCGGGCTTGCGATGATCGCAAGTACGATCTGCCTGTCCAAGATGGGCAGATGGTACGTTTTTTAACGTATGGCCACCTTTACACACATCCCCGGGTATATTGATGAGCAGCCCTCACATGGAGTGATTTTCCTTACACGGGGATAATAGGGAGTCCACATCTGATAACATTTATATTGTCCTATTTTCCCCGGTAAGTGATGTGCGGCCGCCATCTGCACTTTGTCCGCTCGTATCAATAAAATCCCTCATTCAGTCCGATACACACGCCGCACATGACCTGACCCCGGAAAAGTTAATATTTAATAATAAAAATCATTACAAAAAGAAATAATAAATCTTGAAATGGGTTCCTTCAGCAGGAAAGTGTTGTTTACAACAGGCGTGTGCATGGTATGAAGGGAACCTGTCACCAGTACATGTTATAGAACGTGGCAGTGACAGCCACCTTAACATGACAGCATAATACATATACAGTACGTATGTGGCAGCATGGTGGGTGGACCTTAAAGGAGAACTATGAGGTGGGTGCTTTTCACTCACCTCATAGTTCTAGCCGACCTGTGACAATGAGACTGTCACAGGTCGGCTCAGTAGATCGGGAGGTGAGCGAACACATACCGGCATTCGCTCACTTCTCGATTCCTGTCACGGCTCTCTGCCGTGACAGGGGAGGGGCTGGATTCCCCCCTCCCCGCTCCGATGCTCCAGCGCTGACTGGCAGAACGGACATGCCACCTATCACACTGAATGAATGCATTGGAGCCCCACCTACCGGCCTCACGACCCACTTTAAGGGCTGGCTCCAGCGAGGGTTTAAAATGTACCTACTACTTCCATCAATACATTTTAGGCCCTGATGAAGGGGTCTCCCTTTCAACCCTGAAACCTGTTGGCTTTTTGTAATACAACTTATATTTGGATGCCAACGTTGGGCTTGGTGATCCATTCTTTGGTTCCCATCAGAAGTGTTCCGGCCGAGCCTTCACTATACATCAATTGGCCATATCGCCCAACGCATTGGGACACATTCCACCCCATGTGAACCTGTGTGAACACACTTTCATTTGGGACCCAGCCCCATCAGCCCTGCTCTTTGAGGATTTTATTGATGATATATGTTCTGGTGACAATTGCCACTGGGACAGAAAGTGATGGGAAAGTCCAACGTTTTGAGCTGTGACCTGAACAGGAATAGAGGGGAGACCTTCCATTAAGGACACCTGTCCAACTTTTCTGACAACTGTCCAGAAGAGGCTTCCCTATGGGCAGTTCTTCTTTCCTGGGTTCAGTCCCCTTCAGCTATGAAATTCTGAGGAGGAGGGGAGGCCATACATGGGAACAAAACTTGACATTTACCCAAATCCACACATATCTGAGGCTATAAGGCAGGAAGTGCTACTAATAGTATTGTTTTCCCCAAAACATTAAATTGCAATTATGTTTTTTGGGGCTATTTAGATACAATTAAAATACTTTATAAAGCAGTGAATGTGATTTTCACCAAACATTCACTGGTGGTGATTCAATCACCATCATTTAAAACATATGCACCAGGAAGATTCACATATCAAGGCAAAGCTGTTGGTACCTACAGAGGCTCCAGAAGCTTTTCTTTACATACAGTCTTTAGTGCTCTGGATGTGATTGTATCTTGGGGTGATGTAACGGGCAAGCGAAAACACTTTATTAAAGCCCACCCCTCCTTCATGTCCCTGTTAGCCAATCACTATTATGGCCAACAAGCGAAAACACTTTATTAAAGCCCACCCCTCCTTCATGTCCCTGTTAGCCAATCACTATGATGGCGAACAAGCTAAAAAGCTTTATTAAAGCCCACCCCTCCTTCATGTCCTTGTTACCAATCACTATGGTGGCCAACAAACTGAAACACTTTATTAAAGCCCACCCCTCCTTCATGTCTCTGTTGGCCTATCACTATGGTGGTCAACAAGCTGAAACACTTTAATAAAGCCCACCCCTCCTTCATGTCCTTGTTACCAATCACTATGGTGGTCAACAAGCTGAAACACTTTAATAAAGCTCACCTCTCCTTCATGTCCCTGTTAGCCAATCACTAGGGTGGCCAACAAACTGAAACACTTCATTAAAGCCCACCCCTCCTTCATGTCCTTGTTACCAATCACTATGATGGCCAACAAGCTGAAACACTTTATTAAAGCCCACCCCTCCTTCATGTCCTTGTTGGCCAATCACTATGATGGCCAACAAGCTAAAAAGCTTTATTAAAGCCCACCCCTCCTTCATGTCCTTGTTGGCCAATCACTATGATGGCCAACAAGCTAAAAAGCTTTATTAAAGCCCACCCCTCCTTCATGTCTCTGTTGGCCAATCACTCTGGTGGCCAACAAGCTGAAACACTTTATTAAAGCCCACCCCTCATTCATGTCCATGTTGGCCAATCACTATGATGGATGGGCCTTAGTGCTCTATAGGAGCTTCAAGATATTAGAAGAGAGAGGTCCAGCATTGGAACAGAAAGTGCTCATTATAGGACCTTTGATGTACTCAGAGTGCTGAAGGCTACATGCAAGGTTATGTTTACCCAGGGCCTACATTATAGCTCTGGATCCTCCTTATTATCCTCATGGCATTGATGGAAGCACTTTAAGATTTCAGACTCAACAGTGCAAACAAATGTTGCCTTTAGCACCTAATTGTCACATGTATCTTCTACATTTCCCTCCTCACGTTCATCCTGAGATGTTTCTACCTACAGTTCCTCTCTTTGTATTGTAAACAGAGAAGGAGCATTCAGACTTGTCCCCATCTTGGTGGACCAAGTACGCCGGAAGAACCTTCATCGAGAGCCTTCCCTCTGCGGCAGGATTGTCACTCGTGGACCACATCTTATGACCTCAGATTTTGGGTAAACCTCTTCAATCCTTGGCTGGGGTTAATGAGGATCTTCCCAGGAGCTGTGGGCCATCATCATGGCTCTTTTCACCTGTTCAAAGCTGACGAACATGACGATGTTCCAGGAGCCGAGCCTGAGGAAAGCCGGCACGAACCTGTAGAGAGGTCGCCATATGTCATTATTAACATTTTTGGATGGTATTAAAGACACCCAAACCCCATGGTGGAAATGAATAAGGAGGAAGTGCAGGAAAAAGGTCTGTGAAAGTTTGTATGACCAAAATGAATGAAGTGAAACAGAACGATTTAGATTTAATTCCTTTATATAAAGGCTCCAGAGATATGGATGGAGTGCATGCTACTTAGGCTTTACAGGCTCCTCCCCTGAGGATCATAGAAGCTGCATAAAACTGAATACTACAACAACATACATCTGTAAAGTGTCAAAATTGTTATTGAGGTAGCTATGGCATTTCATATGCAAGACCAAATAGTACCCCATTGTTGGCATCAGACAGAGGAATAGTTACATAGTTACATAGTATTTGAGGTTGAATAAGGACAAATGTCCCTCAAGTCCAACCTATTTGTGTATGTGTATGGTCCAATTGGTGTGTAGTATGTATAGGTCCCTGTGTGTTCTCAATCTTAAGAGTACTTGTACCCCTGTATATTATGTCCCTGAGGAAATTGTCCAACCGCCTCTTGAATGATTCCACACTTTCAGCGGAAATGACAGCATGTGTTCCAGACCCTGACTGATCTAACTGAGAAGAAACCCCTTCGCCCCTTGTGCTGAAATTTTTTCTCCACCAATTTTAAGCGGTGGCCTCTCATCCTTGTCATCGAGTTAATTGTAAAAAGTTTGCTGCTAATGTTACTATACCCAGTAAACATTTTATACATGAAAATCATGTCCCCCCTTAATAAGTGCCCCATCTTTGGTGTCAGTGGAGGAATAGTGACCTATCATTGGTGTCAGTGGGAGGAATAGTGTCCCATCATTAGTGTCAGTGGGAGGAATAGTGTCCCATCATTGGTGTCAGTGGGGGGAATAGTGTCCCATCATTCGTGTCAGTGGGAGGAATAGTGCCCCATCATTGGTGTCAGTGGGAGGAATAGTGTCCCATCATTGGTGTCAGTGGGAGGAATGGTGCCCTATTGGTGGTGTCAATGGAAAGTATAGTGCCCCAAGGGCTGGTCAAAGGTAAGCAAACCCACAGGCCACAATTTGGGGACCACAGACCTACACATAGCTATTTTTATGGCTTCCCCCACATTCCCACCCCCACCACTCTAATGGACCCTCAGTGTGATGCGCACCCCCAATAACCACCAGTGTGGTGCGGGAGGCAGGAAGGGGCAGGTCACATCTTTGACTTTGAACCTGAATTAGCTTTTTACATAACTGAGAGCCTGAGATGTGGGGTGCTCTGGAAGTTCCACATGTTAGCCATGTTAGCCTTACCCCTTGTAAAATGAAGCGCTGCCTTCTCTCACCACCATGGTGAACGCGCAGTTTATGGCGCTCTTGTACTGGCCGGCCGTAGAGTTCATGTAGCGTGTTTTCACGACATCCACTGGAGATGCCACCACCGTCGTGCAGAAGCCGGCGCCAAACGCAGCCACGAAATGACATGGAAGGTTATCTGGAAGACACAAAATTGGCCTCTTTAATAAAACACCTCCGGATCTGTCTATGTATGTACTCTGTGATATTTGGGGAGATTAGTACATATGGGGAGCGCTTAAGGACAAGTCTCTGAGCCGTTTAACAGAAAAAAGGAAGTCTTTTATTTCTTCAAAGGCAGACAACTATGGAAGTTCCACATTAAATAGCTTTCTTCAGCAGTACAGTATACACTGAGTGGCCAGATTATTATGACCACCCCATCAGTACTTCGTTAGGCCACCTCGTGACTCCACGAGATGTTGAAAGGTGATGCGAGGAATCTGACACGGCACTGTTGCCCTCCTGTTGTCTTGTACCAGTCTTGCCCCTCCCCCGTTCTGCCCTAACATTGACTAGTCGCTGACGGCCACAATTCGCACGTTCAGACCCAGATTTTCGGCTGACAGTCCGGTCTTTAAACACTTTAACAATGAGCCCCTCTTAAACATTTAATGAATTCTGCTGTTTTGCTGATACTCGCTCCATGGCTCCGAGCGCCAACAGTCATCCCACGTTCAAAGGCTGTTACATCGCGTTGTTTCCCCGAATCTTCAGAAACAAATCACTTCTACTGTCGTGGTAAACAACCCGCTTCCCTATTTATAATGGTCTGGCCCTCTAGCAACTTCAAGGTGGTCATAATAATCTGGCCACTCCGTGTATATTGTCTTACCAATTCTCCAGTTGTCCCAGATACCTACAGTGTCCCATAGACATGTGCGATCCGTTTAGTTCCGAATCGAAATTCGGACGAAGTTTCGGAATTTCGGAAATTCGGATGCATCCGAATTACAGCTAAGACGAATGCAAACTAATCAGAATTCCCGATTTCCCGAAATTCGTTAGCGGTAGTCCGGTCAAAATTTCATTTATTGGACGAAATTTAGTTGCAGCAAAGTGACACATTTTTTTTTTTTTACAGTCTACAGAAGATTAAAAGAAAAAAGTGTGAGGTTCCCCCTCATTCACACCAGACCCTTTGGCCCCATTCACACTGCGCGATTCGCAAATCGCGCGTTTTTTGCGCGATTTGCATTTTGCGCGATATCGCGCTATTTGTCGCGCGATATCGCACAAATGCTTGCATTGGGCAAGCTTGAATCGCGGCTAAATCCGCTCCAAAAAGGGTCCTGCTGTAGCGACAGCAGGACCCTTTGCCCCATTGAGAAGCATTGGAGAGCGATATCGCGCGGTAAATTGCCGCGATATCGCGGGAATTACCGCGCGATAAATCGCTAAGTGTGAACGGGGCCTCAAGGTCTGGTAGGAATGTTAGGAGGGACCCTCCCCCAAGTTAAAACAAAAAAAAAGTGTGTAGAGTTCCCCCCAAAATCCCTACCAGACCCTTTAGGGCTGGTAGGAATTTTATGGGGGAACCACAGCCCCCAAAAATGGGGGGGAAAAACGTGGGGTCCCCCTAACAGTCCTACCAGACCCTTGATCCGAGCACTGGCCCGGCAGGGCAGAAAAGAGGGGGGATGACCCCCTCCCTGCATCTTACCAGGCCACTTGCGCTCGGCATTGGGAGGGTGTCCCCATGGCCTCTTCCCCACAACCCTGACCCGGTGGTTGTGGGGGTCTGCGGGCAAGGGGGCTTATTTGCATTGGGGTACCTCTTTAAATAAGATGCCGCCCCTCCCTTGTGAATGAGTAAGGGGGACTCGTCCCCTACCCATTCACTAAAGGGTTAAATCAAATAGTTATTAAAACGTCCAGACTTTTGATAAAATCCTTGAATTAAAAGAGAAATTGCTCCATCGATGTAATCCAGCGTCAATCACGATGCACAACCCCCGCCGAAAAAAAGTCCCGCCCCACGACGACTGTCCCATCCCGGCGAAAACTCGCTGCAAAATGACATTCCCGCTCGATTGTAAGCAGATGGGCGGAGCGAGCCGTGACGTCACTGCTTGCTCCGCCCATTTGACATTCTCAGCTGTCATGCTACATAGCAATCGGGAACTCCCCAATGCCAAAGTTTCCGAATGCCATTCGGGTCTGTGAGCCGAGGTGTGATAACGCTTTTCATATGACACCTCGGCTGTAGCATTGGGGAGTTCCCGAATGCTATTTAGCATGACAGCTGAGAGTGTCAAATGGGCGGAGCGAGCCGTAAAAAACCCCCCCCCCCCCCTCAAATGTCACTTTGCTGCCACGAACAAATGAACGAAACGAAAACGTAATTTCGACCGAATCCGAACCCCGAAAGAATTAAATTTCGGACCCGAATCCGAAAAACAAAATAATGCAAATTCGTAATCAAAACGAAACTAAACAATTCTTTTGCTGATGCACATGTCTAGTGTCCCAGTCCTTTAAAGTTTTACTCCTGCAGCACTGCTGCTCCAGCCCCAAGCCTCAGGGCCACTGTCTCTTTCTTTTAGCCTCCCTGGCTGTTCCTGGTGTGGCTCCAACACACCACCTGCCTCGGCCCTTGTGTGTCTCCGGCACATGCCACACCTGGCTCCCCTCTGACTTCTAGGCGGAGTCCTCCTGCCTCCCGAACACCCCTGTTCCCCTTCCCCGCTTGCCACCAGAGCATTAGCCAGCACCCTTTCCCATAAGGACTGTGCACAGGTGTGCAATCACCAGGTGCTGGCCCCGACTAAACCTTGGACCCAGAAATGGAGATTTCATCCCTCTCAATTCTCTTCGAAATGTCCCAGTTCCAGGATCCCATGCCAAATCCAGAAAACCCGGAGAGAACCAGAAAGATAGCTCTTTCCCAGAACTTGCTTCCTGGAACCGCTCAGCCCCTCTGTCTGAGAGTCCTGGGTGACTACAACCCCCGGTTCTACCGAGGGATTGCCACACAATACCACAATTCGTATTAGCTATTTTTTCTTTACCTGTCACTAAGGATAAAAGCCTAAAATGTAACACTATGAACTATTCGGGGACAGATGTTTGACCATGTCCCAGTTTACTCCTCCGGCTGTCATATTTCGGGGCCCAGACTCACAGCTTGTGTTTGCACTGATAAGACGGCTCACAGTCAGCCCATTACAGAGGGTGTGACGCGGCAGAGAAATCACTTGTTACCGGTTTATGATCCGTTCATACAATCTGCTGATGGAAGAACATGTTGTGACCTTCACAGAGGACTTTACACTATCTAGACAAGCCGTGTTTCTGGACCTAAATTACTACCATACAACCCCCCCTTCCCTCGGGCAAAATTAGAAAATGCACAAGTCAATGGGGAAGCAAATCTAGAGGTGAAGTCTAATCTGCTTCTATTTTGCCTTCCCTGGTTCCTCCCAACCCATCATCAACATTCTAATAACATTTTTAAATGAAACCTTCCTGCTTTGATTACATACATTATTAATCAGCTGGCGTTTTAAAATGGCTTCCTTGATGAGGTCGTAGGTCACCAGCTCTGCGCAGTTTACGATGGCGTTCCGGGTGATGTTGGGCATGGTCCCTGTGTAGAAAGGAACAAGCGGATCAGACAAGTATTTGGTACAAAGGGCTAAAAGAATGCATTGGGGAAGAGGAAGATCGGAATTTATAATGGTTTCCGCCAGGCAAGGTAAGTATGGCTCTTGCTATCTCTTATGTGTTTACAGCTGAAATTCAGGCAAGCAACTAAAAATCCAATTGAAATGATGTACACAAAAGGGACTATTTATAAACTACTTAATCTGACAATCCTTGCCTGCTGCCTGCCATGACCTCTGCCTGGAAACGGACTTATGCTTGCCTGCTGCCTGCCACAACCTCTGCCTGGTAACCAACTATCTTTGCTTGCTGCCTGTCTCAAACTCTGCCTGGAAACTAACTATTCTTGTCTGCCACAACCTCTGCTTGGAAACTAACTATTCTTGCCTACCACCAGCCATGACCTCTGCCAGAAAACTAATTAACCTTGCCTGCTGCCTGCCATGACCTCTGCCTTAAAACTGGCTATCTTTGTCTGCCATGACCTCTGCCTGGAAACTGACTAACCTTGCCAGCCACCTACCTCAACCTCTGCCTGAAAACAAATTATTTTTGCCCCCTGCCTGCCTCAGCCTCCTCCTGGAAACCAATTATCTGTGTCTACCATCTGCCACGACCTCTTCCTGGAAACAGACTACCCTTGCCTGCCACAACTTCTGCTTAGAAACAGACTATCCTTCCCTGCCACCTGCCACGATCTCTGTCTGGTGACCGACTACCCTTCCCTTCTGCATCTTCTGTCTCCTCATTGAACTCTCTCTGTGCCTGCCAACCCCTGCCAAAGTGATTCTGAGGGCCAGGACCTGGTTGCATCTTGCTGCACTAAACCCGGTGGCCACTAGGGTCACCAGCCCATCATCTCTTGTGGATCCCCATCGTGAAGACCAAGGTTCCACTTAGACTCTGTGCCCCGGGTGAGCCCATGTCACCTGACCAGGATAAATAGAATGGGTGAATCTGACCAGCGTGGATACAGACAGCAACAGAAACCTGCACAACCCTTCTACACTCCATCCAAAATGAAAGGAAACGTTTTGGCTGATATGAGGAATGTAAAGCGGTCATTTCGGGACAGTTATCAGTAGACTAATACATGATTTATGGTTCTGTTCTTTTCTTGTTGTGTTTTTCTTTACATCTCATTTTACGTTAGTTGAGATGTTCCTGTCAGTGGGGCCATGTGTCCTGTTACCTTTCCAGAGTCCTCGCATGCCCTCCTCCTTAGCGATGGTCTTGTAGGCATCCATCGTCCCGTTGTACCTCCTGCTACCATCTATGACTTTGACGTGTGCCTGGAACCTCACTTTAACCACGTCTGTCGGTTGAGCAAAGGTGACCGCCAGTGCGCCGGTGGTGGCTCCCGCCAGGAGCCGGCAACCCACACCAGAATCTGGGAGAAGAGATGGATGAGGTTCTGTTACCGTCATACACCATTCTTGTACATGCCAATGGTTTTCATGGAAATGCAATTTGGCCCTTTAAAGTGAAATTATTAGCATCCCTCTCCCTGAACCCCATTATCATTTCCACTCTGCTGCCTGAGAGTCACAAACGCTAACATCCCAAAATACTTAACTTTGCTATAGGAACTACTTCTCTGGGGTCCACCAAAGTTGGTCCATGACCAATGTGTAGGCAACTGGAGATGTTTGCCAGTCAGAACTCATTTCCTCCCTTTTAGCAATAAGATCCTGTGCTCATATGCCTTGGCATGTGGTCATGTGACCAGTGTGAGATCCCAGAGCAGTATTTAAGATGTTCAGAGGTGTAGAGGTGTTCAAAGCAATAGATATATTTTAAATTGGGTCAGAGACATAATACCGTGAAGGAAGATGGAAGGGAAGGTGCATGTTGGTTCATCCAATGATGAAGGCTTATGTGTATTTTGGGAGTGTAAATAAATTATGTTATGGTCCTTTGTGCTCTCATGCTGCTTGTCTGTTACCATGACAACATGGAGATTGGGGAGTTAGGTATCATAGACAAGCTTGGCTGACAGTTACTCTGGCAGGTCCAAGAAAGTTAGGCTGACTTAAAGTTGGGTACCACAATGGGGTGCTGAGTCTAAGACACAATGGGGTCCTCAGCACCCCATTGTGGTACCCAACTTCAAGTCAACCTAACTTTCTTGGACCTGTCATGCTAACATGCATATTAAAAAAAAATGGTGGGCTTAATAGTATGTGGAAGAGGCCTAACCAGTCTAGTGTAGAATTATTGAAATAAAGCCTGTAGACCGTCATAAAACAAGGACCGCGATAACCTTCCGTACCCCTCTTCAGAATGGCATGCTGTTTTCCTACACATTGTCAAGGATGCGTAAGAGAATGCCTAAAGGGTTCTGAGAACAATGGGCCACATACCCATAGCATCTCACATTTTCCCAGTTGTAATCTGATTTGTCGATACACAAGAACCTCCCTCTAGGCCACTTTTTTCCTATGCAAGGCCCTTGAATGTCCACCCAGTGCATTGGCCCACAGTCCCCTTTTACCCTCCCCTTCTATTCTTCCATGCTGCACTAGAATCATCTGACACAACTGGCTGGTTGCTCCGGGCAAATGGTTTATTTTCCACTCTCATGTAAATATGAAGCCTGCCGACATAGAAGTGGAACTCACTTTCAGAATGGCGGCAGTAGTACTGCTTCACCGAGTCGTACATCCCGATACGGATGGAAGCAAAGGTCATTTGTCGCTGCAGACCAGCCACCAGGCCATTGTAGAGACTGGCTGGACCTTCCATCTTCACTATGGTGGTGATAGTGCCCATCACGCCTTTGTAGTGAGCGACCCGGACGCTGGGCTCGGCAAAACATTCTCCCTGTATCTGCAGACGGAGAGATATGAGAATATACATTACACCAGGGGTAGCCAAACTCTGGTCCTCCAGCTGTGGTGAAGCTAGAGGTTCCACCATGTCCCTGGCTCTAGGAGTCTGTCAATGCCTTATGGGACGTGAAGTTCCACAACAGCTGGAGAACCAAAGTGTGGCTCCTCCTGCATTATACTGTATATAGTACATTGGTGACTGATATCTACAATGAGTGCGGGGGGACAACACCACTCCGGGGCCCATGAGGTCTAAGGGCCTAAAAATAACCGCTCCTCCTCTTATTCTCCAGCTGTGCGCTCATGTTGTACACTGGCAATGCAAGAAAGCATCTGAAATATAAAGTCCCAACTGCTCAGAACCTGATCTGATGCTTTTGCGGGACACAAATGCCCATGAGGTCAGCAGCAGGGTGATGTCTAGCTTTTGGAATGTTTCCAACTTTGGTATTAGCTCTGATTGGCTCTTTTCTGGAGGCACTACTTCAGAAGAGTCAAATCTACATTCTGATCCATACATATGCTGCTGGCCATCACATTTCCCAATCTACAGGAGCGTGGGTGCCCATTCATGGGTCGTTAGATGGTGGGGTCTGAGAACTAGGAATGAGCGTGGGTGACCATTCATGGGTCATTAGATGGTGGGGGTCTGAGAACTAGGAATGAGCGTGGGTGACCATTCATGGGTCTTTAGATGGTGGTGTCTGAGAACTAGGAATGAGCGTGGGTGACCATTCATGGGTCGTTAGATGGTGGGGTCTGAGAACTAGGAATGAGCGTGGGTGACCATTCATGGGTCTTTAGATGGTGGTGTCTGAGAACTAGGAATGAGCGTGGGTGACCATTCATGGGTCATTAGATGGTGGGGGTCTGAGAACTAGGAATGAGCGTGGGTGACCATTCATGGGTCATTAGATGGTGGGGTCTGAGAACTAGGGATGAGCGTGGGTGACCATTCATGGGTCATTTGATGGTGGGGTCTAAGAACTAGGGACGAGCGTGGGTGACCATTCATGGGTCAGTTGATGGTGGGGGTCTGAGAACTAGGGATGAGCGTGGGTGACCATTCACGGGTCATTGGATGGTGTGGATCTGAGAACTAGAGACAAGTGTGGATGCCCATTTATGGGTCATTGGATGGTGGGGTCTGAGAACTAGGCATGAGCGTGGGTGACCTTTCATGGGTCATTTGATGGTGGGGTCTGAGAACTAGGAACGAGCATAGGTGACCATTCATGGGTCATTTGATGGTGGGGGTCTGAGAACTAGGGACAAGTGTGGATGCCCATTCATGAGTCATTAGATGGTGGGGTCTGAGAACTAGGAACGAGCGCAGGTGCCCATTCATCGGTCATTAGATGGTGGGGTCTGAGAACTAGGGATGAGCGTGGGTGACCTTTCATGGGTCATTTGATGGTGGGGTCTGAGAACTAGGAACGAGCGCAGGTGCCCATTCTTAGTTCCTACCTGGATCCCCAATGTTCCCTTGTCATGCTGTACCTGGAGTCGGACTTTGGCGGTGTCCAGGGGGAAGGTGACCAGATCCGCTATACAGGCCGCTGTGCCGGCACCCACAAACTTCACCATGAGGGTGGGGGGGACCTCGGAAGGTTTCAGTCCGACCATGTCTTCGTCTCTTGTAAATGGGCCGCCTAAAAAGATACAATGTAACAAAGAGGGGAGGATGAAAATCAACCAATTTCTGTGGCCCCCACTACCAGTGTACTGATTTCTGTGCCCCCCCACTACTAGCGTACTGATTTCTGTGGCCCCCACTACTAGCGTACTGATTTCTGTGGCCCCCACTACTAGCGTACTGATTTCTGTGGCCCCCACTACTAGCGTACTGATTTATGTGGCCCCCCCATTATTAGCGTACTGATTTCTGTGGCCCCCCATTATTAGCGTACTGATTTGTGTGCCCCCACTACCAGCGTACTGATTTGGGTGCCCCCACTACTAGCGTACTGATTTATGTGGCCCCCACTACTAGCGTACTGATTTCTGTGGCCCCCCAGCTGTCAGACTTGCATTGCTCTGAGACCACATACAATGTGGTTCCCATAGGAGTCCTGCAGACAGTTGCGGATCAGCGCGGTTTCCGTGCAAATTTTAAAAGGGAAGTTTCCGCGCTAAGACGCAATTAAAATGGCCCAAAACCTCGCTGATCAGCACGGACGGTGCCATTGAAATCTACATGGAAACCAAACGGGTCAGGGAGCATTTCGGGCGGCAGGCGGTTCAGATGGCACGGAGCTGCGCGATCACATGCACGGTCCCCCATAGCAATGTATGGGATCGTTCATGTCGGCGGGTCAGCGCGGCCAAATCCTGTTGGGAACGCGGCCTTAGATCTTGGGGGCTCTTAAAGTTTTTCTGTGGGGATCCCCCCATGATGCCCCTTCCTGCGTGGCTCTCAGAGAGGGGTGAGGTGGGAGCAGAATTTGGGTGAAGGGTCAGACTTGTTGACTTCATATAATATATGCCGAGGGCTGTGAAATGTGACCTCGGCCAGGTATGCTGAGCACTGAGGAACGGGGTGAGGAACGGGGTGAGGAACGGGGTGAGGAACCACAAGCAAGACATGAGATCCATCACCTTCTTCCTGCCAAGTCAGAGCTCGGAGTCACGTCCTGCCCTGACCCTGCCAACCACGTGGGCACCACCCACCCACTGAGCGTCATTCATTCTATTCAGGGGTCCTCAATCCCCCCCCCCTCCTGTAATAAAGACTACTAAATGCTGCTCTCTCTCCTTGTGCAGGGTGACTGGTCTTGTCTCCGCCCCCTCCTCTAATAAAGACTACTCACTGCGGCTCTCTCCTTGTGTAGGGTGACTGGTCTTGTCTCTGCCCCCTCCTCTAATAAAGACCGGTCACTGCTGCTCCCTCCTTGTGCAGGGTGACTGGTCTTGTCTCCGCCCCCTCCTGTAATAAAGACTGGTCACTGCTGTACTCTCTCCATGTGCAGGGTGACTGGTCTTGTCTCCGCCCCCTCCTCTAATAAAGACCGCTCACTGCTGCTCCCTCCTTGTGCAGGGTGACTGGTCTTGTCTCTGTCCCCTCCTCTAATAAAGACTACTCACTGCTGCTCCCTCCTTGTGCAGGGTGACTGGTCTTGTCTCTGCCCCCTCCTCTAATAAAGACGGCTCACTGCTGCTCCCTCCTTGTGCAGGGTGACTGGTCTTGTCTCTGCCCCCTCCTCTAATAAAGACTGGTCACTGGTGCTCTCTCTCCTTCTGCAGGGTGACTGGTCTTGTCTCCGCCCCCTCCTGTAGTGGGTGGAACCTGCTGAGCCCCTCTCTCTGCACAGGCTATGTATACTGCACTGGCTGTATACAGAAGACTATTTGCCATTGTTGGACGTCATGTCACACCGTCCATATGTAAATGTCCCTCCGGCACACACGCTCCCTCAATATAAACACAATTTGCCTCGCACACGAATGACCCCTCCTGTATATTCATCACCTTTCTAATAATACCCACAATCTGTATCATGCAAAGCAGCCCCATCTGTCTCCGGTCCACAAGTCTTAGAACCAATGGGTGCAGCGCGGTCACTCACAGCGCCCAATCACAAAAGGGTTCTGATCTTTAGGGAGCAGGTGTTCAGGGAGAGCCGTGTAGCCATGAACGGCGTTCCTCCCCAAACCACACACTGCATAGCAATGAAAGAGACCAGAGTGATGGAAACTGGACGGCTGGATTCCCTGGTGCCCCCCCTGGCAGCCCTAGTGCCCCCTGGCTTACCTGGTGCCCCCCTGGCAGCCCTAGTGCCCCATCTGTCTGCCTGACATCTTATGTCCGGGTTTCTGCTGCCATGAAAGCCGGACACAGCATTCAAAACCCGGACTGCCCGGGTCAATTCTGGACAGGTGGCATCCCTACTGGCAGCCCTAGTGCCCCTCCCTGGCAGCCACATTTCCTACCTGGCAGCCCTAGTGCCCCTCTGGCATCCCTAGTGCCCCCCCTGGCAGCCCTAGTGCCCCCCTGGCAGCCCTAGTGCCCCTCCCTACCCTGGCAGCCCTGCCAGCATATATTGGCTACAGAGAAATCCAGAGAGGAGATGCGTCTTGAACTGCAACGCATGCTATGTGCACACATGGGCGCATCCGTTCTCTCCTAGTAAATCTGCATCTGCCTGGGCACCCCGTGTGCACCCACTGCCTACCAGGAAATGGGCTGTGAAGTATTTCCCCTGCCAGCAACAGGCACCAACCAAAAAGCAATACCCTCATTCTAATCCTTCCCTGCTGGGCTACAAAAATGTGTCTCCATTGATATCTGTGTCCCCATTGAAGAGATCTGCGCTCACTTCCTGTGTTGGTGACCACACACAATGTGGGGGGGGGGGGGCTCCCCATGGGGGAACCAGCCACCAAAAATTGAGGAAACAGACAGCAATATAAATCCTACAAAAAAAAAAAGTGTTTTGCTCTTCCATTGGTGGTATTTGTGCTCACTTCCTGTCCCGGTGACCACACAGGAAGTAAGGGTAAATCTCCCCAACACCTGACAGAGGTTCCATCCCTTCTGCATCATCCAAAGAACAAAAAACAACTTTGTAATGTTTGTGTGTCAAGTACTCTGAGTCGGTGGAATTCGGAATTCTTTCATTTGTTGTGATATCCGCATTCCTTTCCGCATTTAGATCATTTTTATCCCGCTGCAGGCGGAGCCGAAACTCCCCGAGAGCGCGAACGCCGCCAAACCTGCCGTCAACCATGACAGACGTGACATTTGTAGGTTCATTGAATGTCGCCGGTTGTAGAGGAGGGACCAAGAGTATGGGGACACGCAGCAGTTCACAAACACATTCCGGCTGTGGTGGAACTACAAGTCCCATGAGGCATTGCAAGACTCTGACAGCCGCAGACATGACTCCCGGAGGCACGGGGGTGATGGGACTTGAAGTTTCGGCACAGCTCAAAGAAGAGCGCCGAGCTCGCAGTGCAAACCGCTGCATGAGTTTTTTTTGCGGCGTTGAAACGAATGCCCCGTGCTGATGCGCGTCGAAACGCCCCAAAATGGCGAAGTTTTGGCGCGATTTGCAGCATTTGTTGTGCGTCAGCCTGGGGCAGCCCATTCGTTTCATAGGGCGGTCCTATGCTGATGTGCAATGAACACGCCTAAAATGATACATGCGTTTACACATGCAGCAAGTTTGGATGAAGGGGGGGGTGAGGGCTCAGGCACCCGCGTGCAATGGAAGTGCTCAGCCTGCAGAGGAGAGGTGACGGCGGCGGCAGGGAAAGGGTGCATTGTATGTCCAGTTTTGGGCAGAATGGGGACACGGGGGCTCTGCCGGGATTTTATGGCCAGCTGGGGCTCCAGTACACCGCGCTGACAGTGGGAGGGGCTTAAAGGGGCATTACCCGGAACTGAGTCCAGGTATATACAGCACATGTGTCCCCGTCCTCGTGTCACGTATGTCTGTAGTCAGAAGAAGAAGCTGTTACAGTGTGAGCTACATACCTGATAAAAGGATCATATATGATCATCCAGTGCAATGTTACCCCCATCAGTCCCACACTGTGCATACATGACAATCGCAGCACACATGACAATCACAGCACACATGACAATCACAGCACACATGACAACCACAGCATACATGACAATCACTCAGAGCACACATGACAATCACAGCACACATGACAATCACAGCACACATGACAACCACAGCACACATGACAACCACAGCACACATGACAATCGCAGCACACATGACAACCACAGCACACATGACAACCACAGCATACATGACAACCACAGCACACATGACAATCGCAGCACACATGACAACCACAGCACACATGACAACCACAGCA